AGACTGGGTGGCTTATAAACAACAAAACATTTATTTCTCACAGTTCTGGAGGCTGGAAAGGCCAAGATCATGGCACTGGCAGATTCCATGTCTGGTGAGGTCCCACTTCCTCATAGGCTGCTGTCTTCTTCCTGTAACCTCGCATGGCAAAAGGGGCAAGGGATCTCTGTGGGGTCTAATTTTATAAGGGCACTAATGCCATTTATGAAGGCCCTGCTCTCATGATCTAATCACCTCACAAAGCTCCACCTCCTAATATTGCCACCTTGGAGGTTAGGATTTGAATTTTGGGGGGACATAAACATTCAATCTATAGTACCCAGTATAACCCCAAAATTGATTGTATAAAAATATAAAATTTTAGGAAAAATATTATATGAAAACTACTTTTTGATGAAATTAATAATAGCATTCTCAATGATCCCAAGACATAATCAATACATTTTACTGAGGCTTCTTGTGTTTGATAGCTCATGGTAATTTTTCCCTATTATTTAATTTCAATGATGAAAACAATTATGTAACACTGGGGTTGTAAAAGACCAGTTGTTTAGTTATTTAAAGCATTTCTGTGCAGCTTCCTCATGAGCTACTCTTTTTCCTCTATCCTGCCAAATTATATTTGCTCAATTGGCCAATTTGCTTTCCATTTAGCCTCATGAATAATAGTGACTATTTTACCATGGTAATAGAGGCAGTTAGTAATGACAATGTTTATTTTGAAATTAAAAGTGAAAATGGTTGGCATGATTTAAGATTCTGAATATGCTAACTAAAAATACAAACACTAGAGCAGGTTCATTCTGAAATTCCCTGGGTCTGTAGATATACTCACTATATAATAATTACACAACGGCACTTCTGATGTTACTGAAACCAACTCTAGCATTTTGATGATATAAACCCATTTCTGTTTTAAGACAGTGTGATACATTTCCACTTTGCCACTCCATTAATGTTGGATATGGCCATTTAATGTTGGCAGGTACCACAGCTGAAGTATGAAAATTAGGGATTGGGTCCACTCCAGCCTGAGTAGACTTCTTCAACTCTTGGCTGAAGACAATTCCTAGAGCCTCCTTGGCTCCAGGGGTGGCTATTTTGCCAAATTAAGGAAGCTGAACTGTCTCTGTGCTGCATCATTGTATTAAAGGTTAATTTTAAAGCATGCTGTTTTATTTCCTTAGTTTGATGTTCATGGGACAGTGACCGTTAACGTAGGAAAACTTGATAACTGGTAGATCCTACCTTCTTCACATCTTTCTCCACTCCTTCCTCCCAACCTATCCTTTACAGAACTGCCCCCTAAAAAACTTTCTAAAATTTAAAGCTCAGCCTATCTATTCACTTAAAATCCTTCAGTGACAACCCTCCCTCCCCCCTAAACTTCCCCCGCACATAGCTTTCACGATAACATTTGAACTCCTTTGCCTAGCATTCTAGACCCTTCAGGACTTACCTCCTGCCTAACCTCCTTCCTGCCACCTATTCACTCTCACACTCCAAATACCTTTAAGGATTCAGTAGTGTCTAGTATTTCATATTTTTGTACACATGCTGCTCCAGAGCTCTCTTTACCCCTTTCTTCATTCTGCTAACTCCCACTGCCCTTTACAACCCAGATGACCTCCTTCAAGAAGCTCTCCCGAACCCCAAGTCGCATGAAGATCTCCCTTCTCCATGTTCCTAATTACTCTGCCCGTGCCTCATTCACAGCACTGTGATTGTATGTTTTCTTTCTGAAGCCCCTACTCCCTGTCATCTCAGTGAGAGTAGGAATGGTGTCTTGTGGGAGTTCATTTTTTTCAGCGCTTAGCACAGGGCTTTAGATAAAAGGGCACTCAAATATTTATCACATTAATGAAATGAATCAGTGGGTCTATAGTCAATAGGCTGGTTATCATAACATGTAGATGAGGCAGTGGAATTTGCTTCAAATTATATTTTCATACAATATCCAGTTATTTCTTCCCATCCCCTTCCTCTCTCATCCCCTACGTAGCGAGTGAGACAGCTACCCCGAACAAGAATATCGTTGTTTGGTTCTGAGGTAGAGCATTTGTCTGGACAGACAGAACAGCCTTTTTTTTGGTCCACAGACGGGCTTTTTTTAGGGCTAGCGAAGTGTACATGGGCAGAAACCCACTAACTTTGGCACACAACTTCAGGACTCAGTCATTTTGTTGTTGTTGTTTGACCCCTGGGTAAAAATCTTCTGCTCTAGGTCCCCTCCAGAACATGGTCCTCAATCACTCCCTCCTTTTGTCCCCAAAATACACAATCCCTCTTCTTCCAAACTCTTGGAATATGTGATTTAAAACACAGCCTTTAGTCTCTTCCTGTTTGGTTTTCTAATCCTACCTAACCCAGAAACTGGCAGACAGTATCGTGCGCTCAGTATTAGTGCGTGACAGAACTCAGCTCCACCATCAAATTTAGGCTTAACTGGTTGCCTTAATTTCATTCAGTATCACCTGCACTTTCAGAGGAGAATTACTCCTTTCGCCAGCCCCAATTCTGGAGCACTCACTGTCAGCCACCCATCCCTCCTATCGGAGTGGGGATTCAGACACCACAAGTCTACAGTGGTTTTTGTCACTTTTCAAATCTAGAGTTTTTCAAGACATTTTCACAACCTTCTCAACCTAGGGAATCCTGTTACCCCCCCCCCCCCATATCCCAACACTAACCAGTCTATACAGTTCACGTTCTCTGAATCTACCTGGTGCAGTTCAGCTTCTATTGTCCATTCATTCCTTCATGCTGTCCTTTACCTAGAAATGCCTTCGGTATCATCCCTGCCTTTCCAAAGTGAACTAATTTTAAAGCTTTATCTAAAATTATATTTCTTTCATAATTCCTTCCTTAATTATTCCAATCCTCTCCCTTCCCAGAACTGTTAAACATGTGGTCTGTTCTACATCGCTTATCTATCACTATGATTATATTGCAATATTATGCTTCATATCTTCTTAACTAGAAGGGCATGCCAAAGTAGTACTTTCTAGAACCAAAATAGAGTCTTCCCTAAAGACAAATTCCAGTTCCCTTCTAGGAAGACAAACCAGCTTACAACTCTCCAAGTGACATTATCCATTTTGAAAGTTTAAGATATTCAATTCTGATTGCCACCTCTACATAATATACCTAGAAGCCTTTATACTATATATTTTATGTAACTCATGTGTGTTAGCTTTGTCTCCTCAACAAAACCATAACCTTCTAGAGAACAGGGATCCTGTCTCATATTTGTACCCTCCATTGCATCTATAATAGGTCTATCAGGCCAATAGCAGGTATTCAGTAAATACTCCTTTATAATCCCAACTCACTGGTAATTTTCAATTCAGGAGTTCTAACATCAAACGTTGATTCTTCTGCTATGTTCATATGAGACCGAAGACAATAATTTTGAGGCCAGGAAATTATTTCCTAATTTTGTTCACATAAAATAAGCAATGATTTCCCCACACCTTTCAGAGTATAGTACTAAAATGTTGTCTTCAGCGGCACACGTTGAAGTCTAGAATTTTGGTAACACACTAGAAAGGATTAAAAATCTCAAACAACAGCAGCTGTAGGTCAGCTGTAGCTATGAGACAAGCACTTCTACATCAAAAATCTCACAGCATACACAGTAGTATTTGCGTGGTCACTCTTTAACACTGCGTTGCTGTGAGCAGAACTGTTTACGTTCCTGACCTCACTTTCTCATATCGTCATAAATTAAAATTCCTACTTGTTCTGGCAAATACTTTGGCACTGACTGTGCTAACTCTAAGTCTCTTATTTTCTGTCCTGCGTTGAACCCCATTCCCCACCACAAGGCTCATAGCTGAAAGCACATAGCTCAATGTTCTATCTGACAGACGTTATTGTGGCAGTATGTAACCGAAATTGTAGCAAAAATAAAGTTAACACATTGAGCAAATTTGGGGGCAAACTCATGAAAGTTCAGATACATCAGGGTTCATAAATGGGCTGCCGATTTAATGTAGGTTCAAGCTCATTATATGAAAAAGAGATGCATAAATGCTGAAAAGTATGATGATGAATAATTTATTATCTTCCAAGAGTGCATGTAAACTAAGTGTTTTTCTGTCCCACAGTGACCAAAAATGAAGAAGTAAAAATAATTATGGTGAAACATTACAGAATAGGTTTAGATGAAAAATATGAAGTAACAAAAAAGTGGTCTTTGAACGATCTACAGATGATTGATGGAAAAGAAGCAGATACCGTAAGTGTTATGCTTTTTAAGGGAGATGTGGGATCAATAAGCTGAGATCTTCATGTTCAATATCCCGCTTCATATATTCTTGGCCTGTAATTAAATGTGAAGATGACATATTGTTCTTAAGTGGTATGGTTTAATCTACTGGGATGTTCTACTGGGGTTTTTTGTTCTTGTTCTGTTTTTATGAGTTTAAATTTGAATTTTGTCTATTAGATTTAAAAGCATCTTTCCCAAGGGCTTCTTAACAGGTTAAACACAATCTCCCAGTCAATCCTGAAACTTTAAATACACAATGCTTCCACTACTACTCTTTCTCCACCCTAGTTTCCTCCATAAGTTTTGGAGATTCCTTCCCTCATCTTCCAATTTTACTGTCAGTTACCCACTTGATCCTCCAGAAAGATCAATAACTCTTGGAAATCCTACAACCTTACAGTTCAAGGGTTGAGGGAGGGTGTATACACCAATCTCTCCACTTGATCACATGACAAGTAGTTTTCCTGGTCTCTCCTTGAACTCTTCTACTGATGGAGAACTCATTACCACATATGGAAGTCCATTCTATTTCTGAATTGCCACACTTTATTTTTAAACTTCCTACTTATGTTTAACCAAAACCTGCTTCACTGTAACATCCACCCATTAGTCCTACTTTTGCCATTGGGAGCAATCTAGAACAAATCCAATCCTCTGTCACATAGCAGCCTTTCCAATACTTGAGGACAGTTATAATATTCCCTCAAGTTTTCTGTGTCCTAGATTAAATGTACCCATTTCATGCTTTAAATAACCTTCATATGAAGATCACATAAGATAATATGACAGGACAGTACAACCACCAAGAGGAAATAACACTGGTGTTATTTTTTCCCATGACTTTGTTTCAATACCTTTCAATACCATTATTTTCTCTTCTCTGGAATGCTTCAGTTTTTCCAAAAATAAATACAATATTTTAGAACTAGTGTGTCTAGTTTGTATTTCCTTTGATCTGGATTCCTGTTTTCTATTAAACACTTAACTGATATCTTGGCTCTCTTGTGCATGAATTGCCATTTAACCTAATCGGTCATACCCCCTACTTACATGGAATAAAATCTAAAAAAGGGCCCTGGTGATCTGCCTTCTTTATCCCTGGTCATTCCCCCTTACATTGTATATATCCACAATGTTTAACTACTGATTCTTGAGGCTTAGAATGCTCAACCACGTCTATATGTCACTCCATCCCCAGATTCCCCATTGGATTAAGTCCTACTCGTGTCTCCCTGCCTGAAATCCCCATCAAATTGTGGATAGAAATGTGTTATAGCCATAATCCTACAAGCTGCAATTGTAGGCTTTTTCTGTGTCTTCTCTGGATAGGGAGATCTAAAAAACTGGGACCGTGGCTTTTTATCTTTTATTGCAGCCTTCTGCCTGATAGATATTAGGCACTCAATAAATATTTGTGTTACTGTTGGATGAATTAGAACTTAAACTCATTTATTCTTAATCCTACTAAATGCTTGTTCTCAGTCTGGCTCATTCTTCTCACCTATCAAATCTTCTAATATTTTGATTTTTTAAATATTCACTGTAGTATGATGAAGATTTAATGAGCACAACAGTTAGGACTTCATTCAAGTCAATAATAAAAATGATGAAGTGGGCAGGGCTAAGTGGATACCTCTAGGTAATTGATAGGTTATTATTATTACCACTATAACTACTATTAGTAGTATTGCTACCTGCTACCATCTCACACTTAGTAAACTCTTATCAGGTGCCAGGAATCACACAAAGCTCTATATAGTTTCACATAATCCTTACAAAACCCCATGACTTAGACTGTGTTATTATTTCTGAGTTACAGATGAGGAAAATCAGACTTAAAGAGATTAATTGATTTTGCCCAAGGTCACATAGCTATTAAGTGGTGGAGCTATACTTTACCCAGAAATCTATTAATTCGCCTTCTTTTGACTGCTTGTTTAACATCTCTACAAATTCATATACATTCATTCATTGAGAATTTATGCTATATAAGACCATGCTAGGCTCTGAGGATACCATGGAGAATTAGACACACATAAGCACTTAGTTCTGCCTTAGTTAATAAATTATCTAGTCTGAATACCTAAATTTTAACCTTAAGATCTTTACTGAAATCTATATATGCAATCTGCTGTAATCTTGACTTGTCACCTAGGAATCCTAATTTTAAATTTTGGTGTATTTGATATGCTCTGTTTTCTCCTCACCTTTCTGGCCTTTAATTCCATACCTACAATGTTGATTCTTCTCTTTCCTATTTGAAGATTATTAATTTTGGTAGTGAACTAAATACAAAAAATAAGTTGAATATTTTTATTTTTCTCATTATTTTAGGATCTAAGAAAAACCTATACTATCCAAAGAGTATTTCTTTTAAAGATTTCTTTTCTATTGATGAAGTAAAAATATTCTAGTTATTCTGGGATTTTCCATTTGTCTCTCGGAATTGAATCCTAAAATGTCAGCATTTATTATATTTTTTCAATAGCAGTGACACAATTTTAAATGGAGCCATTTAGAGCCAGAAAGTTGTCAACTTTAAAATGGAATGGAATTGAAATTGAAGTCAATTCATAAAGCAGAAATCAAAATGATTGGAGATTTGGAGACTGACATGACATAACAGGAGAGAGGATGATATAGCAAACTGGGGTTGTGTTGACTGAGATCTTAGTTCTTGTCCTGGTTCTGCCAATAACTGTATGTGTGACCAGGGCTTCGCCACTCTGGAAACTATTATCCCAGCTATAAACAAGAGATTACTAAATAATCTGTGAGATTCCTCGTCAGCTCTAGGATTCTATCAAGAAAGAAAGAGAAAGGGAGGGGGACAAGGTGGGAGACAAGGCGGAGGGAAGGATCTTATTGTAAAATTTTGGCGTGTTTGGTACCAAAGAGAAAAGAGAAACCTTTCCTCTCCTCCAGAAGTCTGTGAGTTTATTCTCTTCTTTCATCCCTACCCATCTTCCCAAATTCATGACCCTAGGAAGGAAGGATGAGAGGGAGAGAGGGAGGGAGAGATTTCTATTCTATGTGCATGCCTGCTCAGGCTTCAATTATTAGGCTAAAGAAAAAAAAATTCATCCTTTCTAAGTATCTCAAAAGCATAAAGGATATTTTCTATATGATAAGGAGAAAATGTTTCAATGGGGAAACTACATAAGGAGTGCGATTATTATTTGATGATGGAATGGGTATGATTTCCTTTTATTGAGATTCCCAGCAGAAATGTCTTTCATGTGCAATTATGACAGCTAGGAAAAATTTTGTGAGATGTGACTAGAGGAACACTGCACTTAAAATCACTTCAGCCTTGTACATTCTTTTTACAAAGTGTTGTTTTGTTTTTAAAATATGTTAATGGTATAAAGCAAGGTGGTATAACACCAGTACCACAATCTTTGGGGGCAGATTTTGGAAAGGGAACTATCATTTATTAAACTTCATACTATACAGTTTATATGATTAATCTCATATAAACTTCATAGCAACCTTATCTAAAAAGAGGAGAAAAGTGAGGGCCAGTCACATAAGTACTTTGCCCATGGTTACATCAGAGATTCAAAATGGGTCTAAAAACTCATCTTTTTCCTGCCCCCTCTAAGAATTTTCCTATTTCAAAAAAAAAAATTGCAAATGCCTAAGTTGTTTGTAAACAATGTTTACATTGTTTACATTACACTACATGGTAATGAATTATTCATATTCTTGTTTGGTTTCCCTCCGCCTCCTTGTCATTTAGGGCACTGTTTGCCTCCACTTCTCTTTTCATAGGACCACTTCAGAGCCTTTCAACACACACTTGTTGAGAACTTAGTAGCTGCCAAGGATAAGCACTAGGAATACAAAGATAAATAATTCAAACCCTCTGCCCTCAAGGAAAGTTAGGAGTTAGGTAGATAATGAATGTGAAAGCATCTTGTAAACTGAAAAGCACTTTATAAATGCCAGGCATTGTTGTTACTGCTGTTAGTAACAATAGCAAGTATTATTGTTTTAACATCCAGGACTTAGGTCAGGTTGGATGTCTGACTTTTCTCCAAACATCTCCACTGGAAATGCAACAAGAGCCTACAGGCAGTCTTTAGTAATTTTTCAGTTTCAGTCAAATGATTGAATGATCCTGTGATTAACTTCTCAGTCAGCAAGTTGGTGATCTGTAGTATGCCAAAAGCTGAATAGACAACCTGTATTTCCCCCTTCTACATTTGGAATTGCACAAAGAACCAACCATATAATAGAGAAAAGGAGAAACCTTTCCTCCCCTCCAGAAGTCTGTAAGTGGGTTTATTCTCTTCTTCCATCCTTACCCATCCTCTCAAATTCACTCTCCTGGGAAGAGTTGATAACTGTACATTCTGAGACATGTTTTATTTGTATAATTGAAAAATTACAGGTTCTTCAAAAATAATCATTCTGATTGTTGTTCTTCTTAGAAGCAATATGTGTGAAGCAGGTAGCTTTGTAAGGCTCATTTGTAGATTTTAGAAATATGTTTGGTACTAATACTTTATAATCAATAAGCATATACAAAACAATATGTGAGAATCCAGGATATCTAGTTGCTTTCCTGACTACAAACGAAATCACATCTCTTTTTCTTTTCTAGGACAATCCATTTTTTGATCTGCACTTCAAGAAAGTGTACAGTTTGGAAGCATATAGTTGTGCCTCTAAATATGCCTTTGCTCGAACTGTAAATAAGCTGAATGATGCATATCTTAAAAAGGACTTACAGATCGTCAACTTTGATTTTACTTACATTAATGATGATTCCATTTGGTCCTCCAACAACAAGGATTGTTTGGTTCTTATGAGAATATGCTTCTACGCTTTCAATCTAGTGTGCCTATCCCTGTGTCCCCTGCCACTCTGAAGATGTATACCATGTTCTTTCATCAGTATCCTATGAAAACAGGTCCCTAGGTAAAAATGTATAGTCATGACTTTGTTTTATCCCCTTCATCAGTGACTGTTATTTATATGAAAATAAAGTGATGCTTTGTGAATTGCAGTGAAATGTGTTTTAATGCAATCATTCAACATTTAGGACTTTTGGCTATGTGTTCCTTGGTAACCTTGAAAGGAGTCAGATAGTTTCGACTAAAGGAGTATTCTACTAAAGAGTATCAAGAAGAATCTTAAAAGGCCTAAATATATGGAAAGACATCCCATATTCATGGACAGGAGGACTTTATATTGTCAAGATGTCAATGCTACCCAATGCCATCCACAGATTCAACATAATCCCTATCAAAATTCCAATGGCTTTATTTTTTTTACAGAAATGGAAAAGCCAATCCTCAAATTCATATGGAATTGCAAAGGACTCTGAATAGCCAACAATATTGTAAAATAAGTACAAAGTTGGACTCACATCTCCAATTTCAAAACTTACTACGAAGCTACAGTAATTAAAACTGTGGTATGGGCATAAAGATAGACATATAGACCAATGGGCTAGAATTGAGAGTTCAGAAATAAGCCCATCATCTATGGTCAACTGGTTTTTGACAAGAGTGCTAAGCTCTTTCAAAGGGGGAAAGAATAATCTCTTCAACAAATGTTTCTGGTACAATTATATATCACATGTAAAAGACTGAAACTGGACCCCAATCTTATACCATATGCAAAAATCAACTGAAATGGATTAAAGACTTGAATGTAAGATCTGTAACTATAAAACTCCTAGAAGAAAACATAGGGGTAAGTCTTCAGGACCTTGGATCTGGCAATGGGTTCAATGATATGAAAAGCTTGAGCAACAAAAGAAAAAACAGGTAAATTGGATTTCATCAAAATTACTTTTGCAACAAAGAATATTACCAAGAAAGTGGAAACCAACCTACAGAATGGGAGAAAATATTTTCAAATCACATACCAGAATATAATGTATGAAGAACTCCTCAACTCAATAACAAAAAACAACCCAATTAAAAAATGAACAAGGGACTTGAATAGACATTTATCCAAAGAAGATATACAATAAGCACAAGAAAAGTTACTCTATATCATTAGTCATTAGGGAAATGCAAACTAAAACTATAAGATACCATTTCACATCTACTGGGTTAACAAGTGTTAGCAAAGATGTGAAGAAATTGGAACCCTCATACATTGCTTGTGAGACTGCATAATGATACAATCACATTGGAAAATAGTCTGGCGTTTTCTCAAAAAGCTAAACACAGAATTACCAAATGACCCAGCAGTTCCATTTGTTGGAATGAATATACCTAAATGGGTTGAAAGCAGGGACTTAAATAGATGTTTGTACACCAATGTTCGCTGCAGCATTATTCATGATAACCAAAAGATGGAAACAACTCAAGTGTCTATCAATAGACTAATGTGTAAACAAAACTTGGTACCTACATACCATGGAATATTATTCTGCCATAAAAAAACAGTAAATTCCTGATACGTGCTACAACACAGATGAACACGGAAAATAAGTTACAACATGGATGAATGTTGAAAATACGCTAAGTGAAATAAACCGGACACAAAAGGAAAACTATTATACAATTTGACTTATGAAATACCTAGGATAGGCAAATTCAGAGACAGGAAATATATTAGATGTTACCAGGGGCTGGGAGGAGGGAGGAATGGGGAGTTATTGCTGAATGGTTACATAGTTTCTGTTAGGGTTTGATGAAAAAGTTTTAGAAATAGATGGTGGTGATGGTTGCACAACATTGTGAATGTAATTAATGTTGCTAAATTGTACACATAAAATGGTTAAAATGACAAATTTAATGTTATATATTTTGTCATAATTTTTAAAAATAATGTAATATGCTGAGAATTATTGACATGCACTTTATATGGGTCAATTGTATGGGATGCAAATTATATCCTGAATAAAGCTGTTAAAAAGGAAAAAAGGACTACCTGAGTCTAGTAGATGAAAACATGGATGAATTTTTTATAAAGTTAGAGTGAGGAAAACTCCTAGCTAGATTTGACTGACAACTCAAATCCAAAAACAATGAAGAAAAAATGATTACTTTAACTATATAAATAGAAGAAGTCTTTGCATGAAAAAAACTATAAATAACCAAATGACAAATGATTAAACTGGAAAAATATTGCAACATATTTAACAATATGCTAATATCCTTCATATATAGAGTGCTCCTAAAATTGAGAGGTCAAAAAGACCACCAACACAATTTGCTGAAAAAATAGCAAAAGATATGAACAGATATTTCATAGAAAAAGAATTGAAAATGACACAAACATATGAAAAGAATGTTCAACCTTGCTCATTATAAGAGAAATTTAAATTAAATCTACAGTGTTAGGTTGGTAAAAATCTAAAACTTTGATAATATCCCACTGGAAATGGGAAAACAGTTCCTCTCATTTATTGCTGCTGGAAATATAAAAGGTACAAATCCCTCAGGAGTGGAATTTGACAATATCTTGCAAAATTACGTATACACACATCTACACTTGGACGCAGCAATTTAATTTTATTTGTAGGACTCTCACCCAAAGATACTTTAGCAAAGATACAGACTGACACATGCACAAGGCATGTGACATTGTTTATAAGACCAAAATATTTCAAATAACCCAAATATCCATCACTAGAAGATGAATTGAATAAACTAATGTACAAATATACAATATAGTACTATGTAGCAGTACAAAGTGGTGTGCCCAGATTGGAGGCTGCTGGCATGGGGGAGCTGTAGGTGGGCTAACTAGAAGCAGGGCATTCCTATGTGATTCTCTAAAGGTGAATATTTCACTTTCTCCAATTGATCCTAAGTTTGAAGTGGAGTCAATTTTAGAAAGCTCTATGTTATTAATCAAGTCCTGAATGTTTGGGCCCCATTTCTACAGTAGTTATTTGGCTTTCTAGACTGGTTGTTACAGATAGTAGTTTGACTTCCTACACTGGTTATAACACATACTAGGTTGGCTTCCACATCTGGTTGCTACAGTTTGGGCATCAGAATTCTATTTTTATATGTAGCCTGGTCATTGTCTCTGTGTGTATTCAGAAATATGTTGATATGGTGGTGGTTACATGACTATATATACTTGCCAAAATCCATCAAACTTAAAATCATATTCAGAAGTTTAGTCATTAGTGCTATCATATTGGTAGTGCTATTTTGACACTATAATAGGAGCATTGAGTATTTGTAAGATAAAGCATATGCTATGTTAACGTCATAAGAAATCGAGGTTTTAAGCTTAAGAGAGACTAAACAAGTATAAAATCAAAGAAATTATAACCCTGTTATAGTAAATTTAACTGGAAATATTAATATAAACTCTTTTTAAAAATAAACATGCATTTCCTAGATTTGTCCACTGAGACCTTGAATCAAAGACACTGTGAGCAATGAGCATCTTAGCATGCAGAGTGGTCTATAAATACCACTTCCCATTGAAAAGAATGAAGATTGCTTGAAGAAATTACTGATTCTAGGTTTGAGGCAGAAAATGTCCAAGATGGATATGGGACATCTTGATGAACCAGGAAGAAAGGAAGCTATCAAAGTCAATTAGAGTCAGCCAAAGGACACTGGAGCCAATTTGCAATAACTCTCACTGGCCTAAGATCTGACAATTTGAGCATTATAAAAAAAATGACTATAATAGAATAAAACACAGAAAATATATATAAGTCCATGAATTTAATAATACTAAAAAAAATCTCATTTGTTATCATTGAAACATCTGAAAACTGATAAAGGAAAGACTCAAGCCTTTGTATTCTGCCTTTCCTGTAGGAATTGTGTTTCAGGTAATAAATGATATGGGGAAGTTTTAAAGAAGGATTCCAGGTAGTAAATGCAGTAGGAATGACAGAATTAGAAAATTAACATTTTGCAATTTCTAATGAAATAATGGATTTAGGCAACAATAATCAATGAAGGCTAAACTCTTAGATGAAAGGTTTTGGAGAACTTTACAATGGAAGGACCAGGCGGACACCACCTGAACCCAAGGAGCAATCTTAGTATCACTGAAAGTGGGTCAACCAGCCTTAAGTCCTCATAGTGTGATATAGTAAGAAGTGTACAAGCACTACCAATGAAGGAATCTTACCTAAAAAATCAGCCTGAAGCTAATCAATATTCTAGATTAGCTACTTTGAAATTCTATAGCACCAATGACTCAGTTTCTCTAACCAAGTTTAAAAAGCGTGATGGGAGGAGGACACTGTATTATTCTCCTATTTCTTAAGATAAAAAAGACTTAAGAAATATAATATCTAAATACAACATGTGGTTTGGACCCTTATTTGAATATACCAAGTATTAAAAGATGGTTTTGAAACAGGGAAATCTGAATTTGGAGGGTATTAGATATTAAGGAATGATTGTTGATTTTGTTAAGTGTGGTAAGGATGTGATGGGTATGTTTTATAAAAGTCCTTATAAATTAAATAAGATAGTTAGATACTGGGCGGTTTACTGGTGATATGGCATGAAGTGGGGATTTATTTTCAAACATTCCAGAAGAATAAATGGAGGACAACTTAAAAAGGATTGGCATAATCATCATTGAAACTGGATGGTGAATTCACAGGAGTTTATTATACCAGTCTCGTGACTTTTGTGTATGTATTAAATGTTTCATAATAAAACATTTAAAAATAGTGACATCTATCATTCTGAAACTAAGGTTGAAGATCATTTTGAAATATCATTTTCCTATAAAAGGGGCCAGAGTTCCTTCAGAAAGGCTGGGGCAAGTAAAATACTAGATGAACCCAGAACATCTTTGATCAGAGGGTAAAAAGACATACATAAGAGCATAAGAGACAACTTGAAATAGCCCCTGATGGCCAAAGATAGAATAATTTGAGCAACAAAACAAATAACAGGCATTGGAACATAACCTGAAGAATAAAGTAAATATCTCCAAGTTCATACTGATAGAAATGAATCAAGGAGGAGAAAAGGGACAGCTCTTTTTTATGGTATAATTCCAAATAATGAAAGTAGAAAGCATGAGAAAAACTAATAGAAGAATTTCCCTTCCCCCAATTCCCCAGCACTGTTCCCATCCTCCCAATTCCCCAATAAAAAATAATAAAAAATCTTTTAAAAAAAATC